CTGAAAGAATCGAGATTCTTATGATGATTGGTTTCGGAAATAGAGTCCGAACGTATAACGAAGTCCAAACCGTACTCCAATATCATTATCGACAATAAGTCGAATTGAGAGTAAATTTCGCGAACTTGGTCATGTACGAGATAAACCTAAGACCGGACGTCCATTGGCTTTAAATGAATTGGATGTCCTGTTAAGTGTAGAGGAAAATCAGCATTCAAACATCTCCAATATTGCTGCAAATTTAAATACATCTAGAAGCACAATATCAAGATTTCGTAAATGAAAAAAATATCACCCCTACAAAGTACACTTGGTGCATCAGCTTTCCGATGACAATTTTGATCGACGCGTGCAATTCTGCGAAACAATGACGGAACTATGCAACGCAAATCCGGAATTCATTAAAAACATTCTATCAAGCAACATTTTGTTTAAATGGCACCGTCCATAAGCAAAACTGTCGTTATTGGGCAGTTGAAAATCCCCATTGGAAAGCCGAGGCAGATACACAGTATCCTCAAAAGGTCAATATGTGGGCTGGAATAGTTGAGAATAGAATTATTGCACCGTATTTCTTTATTGGAACAATAGGCGGTGAACAGTATTTGAATTTTCTTCAATTAGAATTAATTCTAAGTTTAGTTGCAAATTTTCCAAATGCAGAAGATCCAAATTCACTACATCAGGCTACAGCAAGCTGGCGCGCCTCCTCATTATGCACTAGTTGTACGAGAATACCTCAACCAAAAATTTCCCAATCGGTGGATTGGCAGACGCGGACATATTGAATGGCCCTTTATATTATTTTCTTTGGGGTTATTTAAAATCTAAAGTTTATTTTAATAAGCCTGATAACCTAGAAGATCTGAAGCAAAAAAATTAGAGAAAAAATTCAATTAATTAGCCAGGATATGATTCAAAACGTTCAAGAAGCATTTGTCTCCCGATTAAGATATTGCCTTGCCGCTAACGGGCAGCAATTTGAACATTTGAATTAATGATATTATTTTCTATCTTTCATGTTATTTTTGTAAATTTAAACTTTAAAAAAAATGTTTAACTTTTGAAATCTAATTTTCTATTGCTACTTTTGACACTTGGAAATGTCAAATCAAAACAATTGGTTGCCATGGTTACGCACTGCTACTACAATTTTTCTATGTCAAATGAATGGGAAATATTGAAACGTTAAATTAATTTTTCTCGAAAGTTTTCTTATATAACCGATATTAATATTTATTGTACATAATTCAGAAAGAAATCCTCTTTCAAATTTCCTATATAAAAAATGGGGTGTTCCTTTTACAAAAAAACTTCGATGACGTCATAACTCGTTTAAAAATGGCGGAAAAAATTTAAATCTTTAGACCCGTTTCAGCGATTTTTTCATAAATTGTTTGTAATGATTTTATCGAATTTATCCGTTACTTTTGAAGCGCACTGTATAGTTTTAATATAAAATAAAAGAGAAGGTTGTTAATAACATCAGCAGAAAATTATAATTATTTCTATAAATAGTGTTCGTATAAATGTGATTGAAAAATAATTTAATTATTATTATTATTGTAGAAAAAGGTGAACCAAATTCAAATAAAACTTTATTTATTAGTAATTAATTTACACAATGTTTGGTATAAGCTTTAACCATATGTTTGACGTTTGGAAAACATGCATGGGATGGTCCCCGTTGATTTTGATTTTTTGTCATCCTCTGAACATAACATTACTAAATAAAATACCACGTTTCGAAAAGCAATTCCTGCTTATTAAGAAAGCCTTGCTCTAACCTTACGTTTGTTGACAACTGGTGATTCTTAGTTCCAGATGTATTTAGTGCTATTGTAGAAATATTAAGAGACTATATCTGAAGATTACTCATTTTTCAATAAGATGATCGAAAGGTTGTATATTTGAATAGGTACTTGGCGATTGCCATGAGTTCGGGCTTTGGGCTGTGAGTGGGAGGAGGTGAAACCATCCTGATTAGCCTGAATAAAAATATTCATGAAACAACGTAAATTTGATACCACTAAATTGCCAAAATGTAATCTGTCATCTATTGCCGTGTTGACTAACAACGTAAATATTTCAAAAACCTTGTCGAAACGTTCGTCTGTCGTACTCTGTTTCTTTCTCTGAATACTGTTGGAGGTTGCTGATAGCTCAAGACGTATTGTGGTTTTAGATGTTCAGTATTCTTCAGCAATTCTGATAACTGCAGGCAAACATCATGACCGTTGTTTTGCTGCATAACTTTTAGCGTTAGAGTCTTCAGTCGAAGGAATTTTAGAACCCATTGGGAACATTTTATTCAGAAGAAGAAGGTGCGCTCAGAAACGGTAGCTGAAAAGGTAGAACAAATTTTATATTAGCAAATACAACAAATGGTGTTGCTGATTACTTTCTGTATGAGGAAGTATTAGGATGGCAAGACGATTATGTTTAATACTTGCAATCTCATTGTCTATTTTCTTTTTTTTTAATCAACTACCTAACCTACTGAGTTATTCAAAAATGATGTAAAATTTTGATAAAATTTTATTTTATGTTGTTCCCAGCTTGTTCTTGCTTAATACAAATTGCGTATTTTTAATAGATGAATATGTTTGTGAGAAAAATTCTATAATTTTACCTGACTTATCTTTTCCACAAAAGATAAGTCTTTTCCGGTGCTGTTCTTAATTTTCAGAAGTAATTTCCACAAGGGATAATGGATAATGCCATGTATGGATAAATGCAACCAAATCGATCATGTCTTAATATACAGGGTGATTCACTTAAGAACCGACACAGAGCAGGGACATGTAGAGGACAATAAATTAAGATGATTTAACGTAACTTACCTGTATACTAAGTTGTACATCTGAGGAGTTATAAGCCTTCAAAGTTAGCTCTTAAATTTTTGAAAAGTTCAATATCTTCGTAATACATTAAGCCAGAAAAACCAAATTTGGTATACGTTATGAGTGTATCAAGAGTATTAATTGGTAGCAAATTGAACTCAATTGAGGCATTTCAAAGGGTAGATTAAGGGTGATGGCACCCTAAATTTTAACAGATTTTTTAACCTTTTAACCTCTAAAAGGGCGAAACAATTGTTGTACATAACCTCTGAATAAATATACATCATTGTGGAATTTCTGTTTACTACATAAGATTTCATTCCTTATAATCATCATACAATGAACCTGGAGTATCTCATCGCTAAATTAAAAATTTAAGACCCAACTTTGAAGGTCTATAACTCCTCAGGAGTACAACTTAGTATAGAGATACGTTGCGTTAAATCATCCTAATTTATTGTCCTCTATTTGTCTCTGCTCTGTGTCGGTTCTTATGTGAATCACCCTGTATAAGAGATGGATTTCTTTTATAGACGACGAGAAAATCCACCAAGGTACCAACTATGACTCCGACCTACAATAAATAAAAAAAAATTAGAAAACCAGAATAAATGGAATGTATAATAATAATAATGGTTTATTGATCAACAGGTGTATACAAAAAAAATACAAATATAAGAGCAAAATACATTAAAATAAATATCTACGATGATCAAACTTATGATGAGGTTCAATATGTACTGATTTTCCACCCCACCATAGAACAAACGAGAAAAACAGAAGTTAATTACTGAAGCGATAAAAAAAATCAAAACAAGTTACACGAATCTTACAAATAAAGTTTCTTCGAAATTTCCAATAAACATGTCCGAAAGAGTTCTCCTAGAAAACACAATTAGGAAAAAAAACAAAGCATAAATGGGGTCAAGAACACTCTATTTATGTAATGTAAGCATGGAACTTGGCAAGTATCCAGATCAATGGAAAATAGCTATAGTCATGCCTGTATTCAAAAAGGGATGTGACAACCAATTTGAGAACTACAAACCTATTACATTGATATCCTTACTTAAAAGGACGCAATACAGAACGAGGCATCTATCAAATGACATCAGAAATAATAAAGAATGTAAATGAGGACGGCAAGAGAGTGGCTGGTTTGTATTTGGATCTATCAAAGGCTTTTGATTCTTTAGAAAGGAGTATATTAATGGGAAAATTATGGAATGTAGGTATAAGAAGAAAAGTTCAATGTCTAATTAATTCTTATCTGGTCGACAGAAAACAATGCGTTAAAATGAAAGGAAATGATGGTATGACCTACGTGTAATCCAGATGTGCGTCTTCTTCCCATACATTCCTAGGTCCATGCCACATCTATCTTCTTAGTGACGAACACTTTCAAGAAGCAACTGTTTTACAGCTTTGTTTCCTTGGTAAATTTAATCATGGTGTGTTGAGAATTCTGGTGGTCTAGGAACTTCCGGAGACGCTCTTTTCCATGCTGCCATATCATAAAGATGATGCCACGGCTGCCCCATCGCATTGCGTAGAATCCCTTCCAACTAAAATATGTCGATGATTAACAGAGGTCTACTAGCCCTGAAACATACTTCGATAAATTCCCTGAAATGAATTTTTGGGGAAAAAGCCGTTTACGACATCTTTGACTAAAACTCTAGTAAATAGATAGATATAGCGAGAGATTTTAGTTTCTGGAACCAAGTCTCGTGTTAGAAGAGATTTATTGCTTCTCAAATTTGTTTGTTGAGATAGTAATTCTGAGTTTTTGTATCTGAGATGATTTTATATGACGACGGGTTGGAGGTTGTTTTTGGTGATGAGAGGTATGGCAGCGAGTTATTTTTTGTTCTAATGAATTCGATAGTGGATGTAATTTGGATGGATTTGTTGACGATTTGTTCGTAATTGAGTCAGTTGGCAAAGTAATTTAAGATTTTTATTGGTTGTTGGGAGAGGAAAGTTTGGGAACCCACTTTGAATAGGATGAGGCGGTAGACGGAGGAGAATTCATTTATTTTAATCTAATTGAATACGTTAACTGCTTTGTTTATTGCATGCTATTTGCAACACATTTTTTGGTTATATACATATTTCCACATGATTTTGATTCAATTTAATAAAAGAGAACAGTAGAACAGTTTATAATTACTTTATTAAAATAAAAATCGTTAACAATTATAACACTTAATTATACAGAAGAATGTAGTACATATAGTATATGCAGGATGGTATAGTGGTCTTTTTCTACTTTGATAAGTTGAAAAACTAAGTTTAAATCGTGGAAACTTAAAGTTTTGTTGTTTGTTGGTATTTGTCCTGGAAAACTCCATTAGTTTCTTTTGCATATATATCGAACTTAAACATTTGCTTATAACAAATATAAAGACACCTAAAAAGTGAAAATATAATAATTAACTTTATCTGCATAAACAAAATATTTTTTGAACGTAATAAATTGAACTTACAGAATTAAAATAACCGAAGCAGAAAATAAACCAACTCCAACGTATAAGAATACTGTTGGATGTGTTGCCAATGTTTCTTGATATAAAGCGCTGTATAAAGATGGGGCTGCCATACCCGATAGAGTTTCACATAATGCTAACAACGATAAAGCCTTTGCTAAATCGGAAATTTGTACGGATTTTGTCGCCATAGATTTTAAAGCTGTATTTCCTATGGTTGCACAATTAGCAACAGTTGTAGCTAAAAAAATATAAAATTAATAAACACTTACAACGTAAAATTGTAAAAATAAATTACCTACGTACAATCCGATTTCATTTAAAACAAAAATTAAAAGTAGATTGCTGACAATCTTATCGATAAAAGTAATAACAACAATCATAGAATCGTGAAGTTTCAATACTTTTGTAAATAACGGCAGAAAAATTAAAGAACCTAAAATAAGTCATTATTTTTCTACATTGCTAAGAAAAAAACAAAAGACTTACCTACTACAACCAAAGAATTTCTTATGCTGTCGTAATAACTGAACTTGACAGGTGTGTACATGTAAGCATGTTGGGCAAATAGCCAAAATACGCTTACTTCACCTAAAAAGAAAACGAAAACAGCGCAGTTAATATTTGTGCACAACTTTAAATGATTTATAAATAAATCAACTTTTTTTCATATACGAAGTGTATCAAGGTAATACATTGTAATCATGCAAAAGTTCTATCTGTAATTCCTAAATTCATTAATCCACGTAATTTCCAAAAATAAAGTTGAGTATGTCGTCAATTATATCACCTTCGAGGGAATCTGTAACTACTAAAAGGCATGGCCCTAGGTGGTGGAGAGAGGAACGAGTTTTGCTTAGAAAACTTTAGGGTTTAGAACATAGAATGTTCGTACCCTGCTCAGGATTGGAGCTTGGACGGACCTTAACAGTGAACTCCGGAAATGTGGAATAGATATATCCCCTGTAAGAGATGCAATGGAAAGGCACAAATACGCTGAAATCAAGGCACCACACGATGTTTAACTGTGGAAACATCTAATTAAATAAACTCGGTACTGCATTTGTGGTACCGAATGGCCTTCTGAACAATGTTATTGCAATAGTGGACAGCATTTACATGTATAACCACTTCAGAAAGCAGCAGAAGAAATAATTGACTTTAAAGAAGGGCAAGGAAGAAACCAATGATTTGATGATGAGTGCAAAAACCAAGCCAGAGCTAAAATGCTGCATTATGAGACGAAAGCAAATAAAGTGGTTTTCATTAGAGAGAGAACCAAGAGATCGCAGATATGCTACAAGAGGAAGCAGATGTGGAAAGAACAAAAGATGAAGACCATCGAAGAAATGGCCGAGATGAGAAATATCAGAGAAATGTTTACCGGCATAAAGGTTGAAAAGAACGGGTTTCCAACTCCTTGCAGCAACGGCTAGAGATGGTAATTTGATATTTTTCGAGAACATGACGGGTCTATCCGGTGATAAAGAAGATGCCTACGCTGAAGTGGCTGATCATGACTGACGGTGACGACCTAATAACAGCGATATTCTTGAAGTATGGAGTTGATAACTTAAATAACTCACTGATTTCAAAAATGTTGTAGTAAGAAAAGATGCCCAAGGAATGGGACACAGCACTTATCTGTCCTATCCACAAATAGCGCTCAAAACTACGACGCTCGAATTACCCAGGAATGTTCCTCCTAAATGTAAACTACAAAGTTCAGGCCAACATTTTGTCGGAAATTACCAGAGTCAAGAATCAAGAGAATCAAGGGATCGAAAAGTGTTACGAGTACAACATAGCTGTTTACTAACTATTCATATATTATCGGCATGCTTACTACAATGTAAGAAAATCATACCTGTATCGGACGATGGAAATGTGGAGTGTTCCGCATAATCTTGCGAGATTAGTGCAAATGACTCTAAGAAACACCAGGAAAAGATGGAAAGTTGTAGGAGAATGATCTCGTTATTTTCCCATCATCCGTGAATTGAAACATGACTGAATAGATCACCACATTATTTAGCTTATGCTGATGATGTTGATCTATTGACAAAAACAGAACGAGACTTAGTGGAGAGGTTGCGCAATTTGAAGAAGAATCAAGAAGAGTATTTTATTGCTATTTGAAGTTGAATGCCAAAATTACATGGTTATTTTCAAAATTTTTTGATGAAAAGCCTTTCAAAGTGATACAACAAGTTACATCGTTCTAAAAAAGAAAGTCACGCTTTAATTTGATATTAGTCGTGTTGCTACTGTCGAAAATAATATTTGCACTATTTTTTTAATTTTAACATTTTTTGCTATTTGAACTGAATCGTTAAAATTACATGGTTACTTTCAAAAATTTATTTATGAAACGTCGTTCAAAGTGCAACAGCAAGTTATGCATTGTTCTAAAGAAGAAATTGCAGTCCTTAATTTGATGATAAAGTCGTTTCATTAGCTTCTAAAATAAAACCTCCACGATTTTTTTACTATTAACATTTTCTTTGCAATTTTGAAGATCAAATTTACATAGCTATATCCAAAAATTGATTGATGAAAAGTCTTTTAAAGTGAAACAAGTAACAGGGGAAAGTGGGACAAGTGAGTCATAAGGGGCAAGTGCGTCATTCAAAACAAGTTTTTTTATTTAGATACGTAAATGATATGAGTTAGTTATTTAAATTTAAATTGTGTTGTAATGTTACTGAGAAGGTGTGCGTTACGTTAAGTTTCGAAATAACGGATAATGCTTTACATAAAATATATTTGTGACCGCTTGGTGTCAAATGTTTTTTAAGTTTTCATAAGACTATAATTGTACTATCGCATGGATTTTGATACATTAATCTATTAGGAATTATACTTCTCCCTTGAAACTTTGCCAGATGTCGGTATTTTTTTGAGATTTATTCTTTTATAATAACATTGGGCAAGTGAGACAATACTGACTCACTTACCCCATCACCTAAATTAAATTTGTTATTTTAGGTTATTACTTTGGTACCATTAATTTAAATTCATAATTGCAAATAATATGGTTCCCAATTACGTACGAAAAACAAACAGAGGAACAATATATGCAAACGACGCAACGGATCGTGCACTAGAAGTCATTAAAAGTGGCGAAATGTTCATGAGAAAAGCTAGTGTGCATTTTGGTGTTCCAAGAACCAGCATCCATTCCAAAATAAAAAGGGATATCCTATAAACACAGGAAGATTTAAACCAGTACTTAATGAAACTATGCAATTAGAGTTGCGAAATCATTTGATAAATTTAGAAAAACGATTTTATGGACTGTTAACTATTGCGGTACGAAGTATAGCATATCAATTTGCTGACACTAACAATCTAGTTCATGGAAAACAAGTGGGCAAAAATACCACTCTTTTGGCCTGTGTTAGTGCTTCATCTTTTATGGTATTTCCCAGAGTAAGGATGCATCTTGCATTGCTAGTAGGTTCATTTCCTGCTACAGTAGGGTACCTAAACCCTTGAGGTTGGATAAACACCGATTTGTTCGTAATTTTTGTGAAACACTTTATTGAATGTACAAAAACGACTAAAGAATCACCAAGCCTATTCAATACTAGATAGACATTTAAGACATCATTAGAATGTATAACACTGGCTAGAGAGTCTGGGGTTGTTATGTCGACGTTACCACCCCATACATCAAATGGGCTCCAGCCGCTTGATGTTAGCGTTTTTGCGCCATTCAAAACATATTTATCTCGAGAAATGGACAACTGGCTTACTAGTCATCCTGGTTGTAGACTAACAGAATACGAAAATCAAAAATGCTTTCATTAAAGCTTTCACACCAAACAACATTATAAAATACTTTGAAAAGACAGGTATTTTGCCGTATACGCAGACATATTTCAAGAAAGCGATTTTGAAGCTGCAAGAACATCAGAAATTCGTCAAGATGAATGTAGTCCTAGACCTGATGATAATTTGGATAATGAAGCAACCTTAGGTCTCTTAAAGAAACGAAATTTAAACTCTCTTTCAACACCAGACATACAACGTTCTACAACTTTTAATGACCCAAATCCTGAAATATTACCATCGTGCAGTTATGTTCCAGTTTCACACATTTCACCATTCCTCAAGCAATTTCAAAAGACTGCTTAATTTAAAAGATTAAGCCAACTCCTTAACCTTTTTGTGTGATGCACAGTATGCACTTTTTTCTTCCTACATTTCTGCACTTTTTCTTTTCAGTTTTTTCTTCAATTCTATTATATTTTGAGTTGGTAAACATTTCCGAATCACCAGAAGACTACAAAAATGTTTGTTGCATATTCTACAATGAAACTTATGGTGGCACCTGCGACGAAGACTGGATAAAGTGTATGAAATTTCGAAGTCCATGAAAACTGTCAGAAAATTATATCTATTTGCGAAAATTGTCGCTAAATTATCGCTCGAGCGCGCGCAAGTACAAGCCATAATACAAGGCTCGTACTTTACCGGTAAATACCATGTTGATATCGTGTGTATCGTAGTGGAAAGAAGAATTAGCTTACTTTTGTATCCACATTGCGCGTTTCCCAGTAAATATTTCAATTTTTTTTTTAATTTTCAAAACAAAGATTTTGCGTAATTGCTCATAATCTATAATTATTTATTTTTACTTTTAATGTTAATTTTCTTGTAAAATCAGTATAACAATAGTTGAATTGTGATATTTTTGGGATAATACGAATAAATGTGTAAATTTTGAGGTTAGCAAATAAAAATTTGTTTTAGGATCATGTCGTTTTCAAAGCAATCCTACAACTTGAACAACTACGTGTTTGGCACGTAGAGGAAATTCAAAGGTACCTGTTTGATTCCGACGACGAAAATGATGAAGTCGAATCAATTGCGAATGACGAAGATGGTGTTGCTGAAGACGTTTTTGAAACCTGGAAGAGTTAGTTGTCGATGAGGATTTTCTTTTACCAAAAATAAAAGAAAGAGAAGTCGATGTAGACTCATGCAAATAGAAAAGAACTCCCTATAAAACAAGAACAATGTCTCACAACTTTATCAACGGCTATCTTGGTCGAGTTAGTGCTGCAGCAAGGACAGCAAAAACTCCGATGGAAGCGTGCCAATGCCTTGTCGACAATAATATGATTGATATACTTGTGCGATACACAAATCAATTTATTGATCAAGAAAGGGCCAAACTTTCACGTGAAAGAGTCTTCTTTATCTTGGCTCATCGTTCGAATACTTTAGATTTATGGGATACTACCGAGCATGGAGTAGAAATATTTGGAAGCACAATGAGCAAAGAAAGGTTTTTATTTTTTCTAAAATGTTTATGGTTTGACGATCGCGACACCAGATTAGCCAGAAAAGTGTTGGACAAATTGGCTCCCTGATCAGCGTATTTGAAACTTTTTATTCCATTCTAAACATGGCTGGAATAAATGCTCAAATAGTACTAAGAAAAAACGACCAAACATATGACAAACGAAAAGCTTTTCTAAAAAAGTTGGGTGAGGAACTAATAAAAGAACATCTGAAAAACAGGAAGACCAATACTAGAGGAATTCCTGCAGCACTTCAAGAAAAAGTTAACCAAACTGCAGAACGGCTCAGCACAAATTTACCATACAGTTACAGAAATGCAGGACCTGCTTTAGAAGTTGATGACCAGAAAAGAAAAAGATGTGACTCTTGTATCATTGAAAAATCTTTGAAATTATAGTATATTTATAATTTTGTATTTTTATGAATTTTATACTTGCCTTTTTATTATTGAAAGTCTGATTTAATGGTGTTTTTGTTTTATTTTATGCTTTACTGGTGCACTAAGTTTGATCTCAAGTAATTTTATATTTTAGTTTTCCCAGTTGATAATAAAAAAATAAAACATAAACCGTAATTTCCTTCCTAACACCTTTAAAAATAGATTCTTTGCACAAATATATACTTTTTTTTAACTTTTTGTATATTTTTGAGCCAATGTATCTTACAGATACTGTAATGATAAAAATGGTTCGTTAATTTAAACTTGTTTAGTATAATTTTGTTTTGTGATTAAATTCTTACAGAATGTGGCCTGTTTTACATTAACATTACTTACTTAGGCCCACTACTACCACTCATAGTTAAAGTCTCTGATAGCGTTATCTATCGGATAGCTTAAAAATTGGTTACTACCGCTGTATTTATCTTATAGATACCGCTATCTACTTTTGAAATATCTGTAACCCGGGGGTTGGGTGTCGATAAGTTGCTATCTAAGGGATAACTGCGGATACCTAACCTCAAATAGAATTTATACTGACGTATAAAATTCGAGCGTTTTACTATTTCGGTTAAAATAAGAGAAGTAATATAAATTTAAATAAAAAACTATTAATAATTAACATTAGATAAAATCATCATGGATAATTTCTTCGACATTGGAGATGAAGAACAAATTTGTGAAGAAATCAATGAATTACTTCCTATAGGAAGCGAAAGGATAATAAGGAGTAGAGTTGACCATTTAAATATTCATTCTGATGTTGAATTTATGACGAGATTTCGTCTCTCGAAAAAAAGTTCTCTTCACCTTTTGAATCAAATAGAAGATGTAATATAACCTCCATCCATGACGTAAGTAATTTGTTGATTGCTATTATTTAATGTAAAATTCATCAAAATTTTAGTAATAATGGTGTACCTCCTTCAAACCGTTTGTTGCTGACTCTTCGGTTTTATGCAATGGGTAACATGTTGCTATCCATAGCAGATTTTGCAGGAGTGAGTGTACAATTGGCATTTTCAGTCAATAACTGCATCACTTTTTTTGTTTTCTATTACGCTTTTATGTTTGATAATAAATTCAAGAAGAAGTTCGCATTCTTGTTTGATGAAATTTTTCTTTGATTTCTTAACTATGAGATAAATGGAGGTGGTAGTACACACGACTCTGTTATCTACGAGATAAACTGTAGCTTATAGATAGCTTAATTGACAGATAGCATTGGTTTGGTAGTAACGGGCCTTAATCGGTAACCCGGTTACCCCCTACATTGTTTTAAAGAAGAAAGTTTAATCTTTAATTTGAAGTTACATGATTTTTGAAATTTTAATTCCTTCTTAATATATCGAGGAAAACATATTGTCTTTAAAATATTATTGATGTATAGTATTTAAAATTAAAACAATAAATTAATCACTGTTATAAAGAAGAAAGTTTACGCTTTAATTTGATATTGGAGTCGTGTTGCTACTATCAAAAATAAGACTTGCACGATTTTGTCAATTTTAACATTCTTTTGCTACTTGAGGTTAAACGCCAATATTACATAGTGCTCTTTAAAATTTTGTTTATATGCATTTCAAACTAAAACATCTGGTTACATATCATTTCAGAGAAAAAAGATAAAACTTTAATCAGTATTATTGCGTTCACAAATGAATTTACAGCGCAATTAATTAATTTAATGTTGTAATAAAAGTTTATGTATATTGTCTTCTTTGTGCAACAATTATGTTGGCTATAATACAACAATAAAAATAACTGTAGACAGTTAAATATTATATTTACGAATCAATTCGTTAATAATTATGTAATTATAAAACTAATTAATTAAAAATTCAATATACTTGCCGATTACAACCAATCCAGAAATAAAAAATACAATAATAACCAAATATAGTAGTTTAACGTTAGTTCGCTGTTGCGGTTTCCGAAGTAATTGAAATGTTTCGATTGCGTGTTTTGGATTGAAAACGTCGTCCAAGAAACCTTTAACGCTCTGGTATTTAACTTTTTCGGTATTAGTTTCTTCAATGTAAAAGTATCCATAAATTAAAGCGATCAAAAATGAAGCTCCACCCATGCTTAAAACTCCATAATAACCAATTTTCGTGAATAAATATCCCCCTAACGCGCTTAACATCGAACAAGCGGTTAAAATAATCTGTATTATCCCAATTCTTAACGTTCTCATCTCCATCGTACTTATATCGGATATGTAAGCGAAAATTGCCATAATTAACGTTGCGGGTCCGCCTAAGAATGATGGAAAAATCGTTTGACTGAATCCTTGAAATTCAACCGGAATTTGATCCATAAAAATAACACACAAAAAACAACCAGCTATTGCAAAAAATTCGCCCAAAATTGGTAACAATAAGAAGGGTTTTCTAATTTTATGCCGATCGCTGTACGATGCGAGAAATAAAATTAATATTAAAGGAACGATGTTTTGCAGTGGATTTTGCCAAACTTGCATCGTCGTAATTATTGCTTGCACATTATCATTTTCGTGGGTGTAATTTTGAAAAGATGCAGATAGGATTGCCTTACAAACTGTATCGTTATAATTCGCATTCACACGACATGATTTTTCTAACTGCAAATTCCATAGGGCCGGACCGCAAATAAACGTAGGTATATAATAAAATATTAATAAAGGTTCCACTGTAATAACACTACGAATGTAAGAAAGTTTTTCTTTCATTGTCATCTCTTTAAACGTTTTTTGAACTCCATCTTTCAAAGCTAAATTATTAATTGATGATGTTACCAAGTTATTAGTTGATTCCATTTTAATTTTAAACCACTTAAATACACACTTTCTTTAAATAACACTTTTAAATCATAATCTTTATTTTTTAATCACTTACGAACGAGGACGAATAAAATACAGAGAATTCTTCTCAAGCACAGATTGATATAAACAACGAAGAAGTTTGTTAGATTTACATAATCGCGTGTTTTAAATTAGAAAATGATATAACGGAGAGGAGAATCTTCCTCTTGTTTCATTAGGAACGTAAAACCTGTTTGGTATTCGTTCGTATTCACTTTTCGTTTCGTTTCACGTACTTACGATTCAATCTTCTATACATTTTCTTTATTAACTGAAGAATACCGCAAGGTTGTTTGTAAGGTTGGGTGTCTATTAAACGTGATTGACTCGGATTCTATGCGGTTTTTAAACATTGTAATTACGGGATGCACGGAAAGAAGAAAACAAAATTTAATTACAGGTTTTTGTGGTTATTCAAGTATGTGAAATATTAATGATATTATGACCTTCATTTCAATAAAAGAAATAAAAATATTTAGCAAAACGATTCCACAACTTAACTATTTTGGAAGAATTAATTTTATTTTTTGGGAATTATCGACGTCAACTAAATTTTGGTTAAAATGTCAAGGATGAAGTGATGATCTCAAAAAAAAAAAGAAAGAACGACCTCCAATATGAATACTTTATAAATATTTTGACCTTCATTTGAGATAAATGACGAAACGTATTTCATAAATACTGTGACGGTAAAAGATTTCTGCCTACAAAAATTCCCAGAATTAATTCAGAGCATATTAGAAAAAAAATTGTAGCTAATTTTATTCTTAACAATTTTGCTTTTTTACACTTTTGCTCCCACATGCATTGATATCGAGAAAAATTTGAAATGAGAAAAGCGATATCGTTGTTTTACATTTTGATATTCCGAATTAAATGATTCAGAACATATTAGAAAAAAGTTTTAGCATAGAAGTTACTGTTTTTCACTTCTGCTCTGACAAATAACTAATGAATTTTTAGGTTCTCAAAAACGATTTCACTCTTATATTAAATTAAAGAGGGTATTATAGCGTTTAATTTCAACCATAAGCCATTTTTGAATTCCCATAAATGAGGTTACTGCGAATGTTAAACATTAATATTTTTGAGTAATATGTTATTCAGTAAAATCTCAAAAACAATGTTACTAGATACTTAATTTCTGGTAATTAATTATTAATATTTGCATTTATTTGGTATTGAAAAAATGTTGAAACCGGTTTAACCCAACATTATTATAATCTCCTTGAATATTTAATGTTTACGATGCAGACAACAATAAATTAAAAACATCTTCGATTAAAAATCAATTTGTATAAGTTTTTAATGTTGTTGTTTTACACGTAACATTTTTCTTTTCCGCTCAATTTCGTTCTTTTAGATGCAAAAAAAAAACATCGAACCGATGAAAGATATCGAAAGATATTTGGAGAAATGTCATATTTGGAAAGCTCACGTGGAACGAGGGGATTAGGAGCATTAATTCTGGTTATTACATTGTATATTCTCCATATTTCTCAAATAAATAAAAATAATAAAGGAAAAAGTAGACTTTTTGAGAAATACTAATAAGTTTAATTTAATTCAAATAGTAAACATGTTTCGATAGGTTATTTTCCAAAAAATATTTTAAAAGATTTTTTATTTAATTTTTAGATGTTTTTTTGTAAATTTTAAATTATTTTGTATTTAAGGAGAAAAGCTTAAACTTATACCTAATCCCTACAAACCTTAAACATTTTTTTCCATCAATTTGTAAATTAATTTAAGTACTGAAGATGAAACAATAGTTTCGAAACATGTTTACTATTTGAATTAAATTAAACTTATTAGTATTTCTCCAAAAAGTTCTACTTTTTCCTTAATTATTTTTTCCTATATTTCGAATTACCCTCTAAGTCGAATAATTTTCGTAAGCTCAAGCGTTTGACTAGGTTTCAAATGTGTTTTTATTTCTCTAACTAAGTCGAATTTCCCTAACTCGAATTCTTTGTAACTCGAACTGAACTACTATAGAATTTCTTGCACCGCGACCCTATGGATCTATTGTACCCCGATAGATATCGTTATCAAATTTCACCGTGCAGTCCAATGCTCTTAACGAACATTAACACCTTGCTCGCTGAAAGGTCATTCAGATCTTTTGAGGAGATAAACTGCGACCCAAAAATCGAGAATCTGATACGGTTAACGGCAGAGCAGTGGCATAAAACATGCTCAACCGTCTCTGTTTCCTCCGCACATAGTCGGCATTCAACATCGTCGGCTAAACCCAACAAGTTGAGGTGTGCTTTTAATCGGCAGTGCCCAGTAAAAACACCCATTCGAACTTTTATACTACTACGGGCAAGTCCTAAAAAATTCCCAGGTTTGACATTGGCGATGTTAATAAACACCTTAGCATGTCTCATTCAAGGAAAACTGGTCCACAGTAGGCGAAGTCTCTCTTCAGCCCACAATCCAATCCTATATTTGGCCATCGCACATGATACACAAACTGCTGGTTCCGGCTCCACAAACGTTTCAGCGCTGCCATCTCGTGCTAGCTTATCTGCCGCTTCATTGCCAGCAACCCCAGAGTGACCCGGAACACAGATCAGAGAGACTCTGTTATCAGAACTCAGTGTGTTTAATGTTCTCTTACAATCATTAACCAGAGCCGACACCGTTTTCACGGCTTGCAGCGCCTGGAGAGCGGCTTGACTGTCTGAGAAAATTCGTACTGTCATGTTCTTCACCCCTCTTTCAAGAAGGATTTTAGCACCCATGTCAATAGCAAATACTTCCGCCTGGAATACAGTACAGTACGTACCCAGGCTGTAAGCTTGCTTAATTCGAGGTGTCTCGCAGTATACTCCTGCTCCGACCCCTTCAGGCGTTTTGATCCATCTGTGTACAAGCAAATGTTTGCCTGAACCAGAGAATTTTTATTTTCGTTCCAGGACTACCGCTCAGGCAGTACAATCTGGTATCGAGCATTAATCACTGATAGTGATACCGCCAAATCTGACGGCATTGATAGCACAGTATCAGTGCTTATAATGTCTTCCGCAGCCCATTGGTAGGACATGTCGGAACAGTTTTGAGCATATTGCTTAAATCTGTAACTGGTTGTTCTAGCCACTTTCTCTATAAGCAAATGCAGAGGAGATAGGCCAAGCAGAACTTCCATTGCTGAGTTGGCGTTGTGCTTATCGCACCAGAGATTGCCAATCCGGCTACTCATCGAATTCGTGAAAGTTTACTGATAACTGAAGTTTGTCGAACTTTCCCATACTAGGTTGCTGCTCCGTATGTGATCGTAGGTCTAACCACAGTCACATAGAGCCAGTACAGTCTTTCAGGGGTAAGATCCCAATTTTTTCCACAAAGACTGCGACAAGTCCACAAGGATAGTCTAGCTTTGTGCAAAACTCCCTGCAAATGTCCATTCCATGACAGGGTTTTGTCTAGGATTACTCCCAGATATTTGACTTCCTTTGAGAAAGGAATTTCTTCACCTTGGATAGTTGGGCGGATTAGTCCATCCAACTTTCATTTCCTGGTGAAGTGTACAACAATTGTCTTTTGCGGGTTTATTGAGAGGACAATTGTATAACACCTAGTAAATACATACTAATTAGGTACTTATTTTTAACACCAAATTAAACTAAATAATGTTTTACAGCTTTTTCCAATGATCTAGTCTGCTTTACCCGTAATATAGATAAATATTGTCATATTTTTACCGTTTTAAGACCAAAACACAAAAACGCGCACACTACGATACGCGGAACACACGTTTAGGGTATTATTGTTTTTGTTATAATTCCGCACTATTGCTCCCGTTTGAATCGGCTAGGGCACTAGGTCACTATATCGAACGGCTCGAACATCCTCTGAAGGCGACGCAAGACATCCTCGTTGTCGAGAAGCTGGATGGCCTTGATGTTGGGATGATCGTGAATTTTCTTCTCAGGTTTAGACGCGAATGATGCAATTTCTGATGACACCGATGCTGTTTTCAAGTCGCGATGGAGGTCGGTGTTTCTTATATACCAGGGTGCATTCACTATGCACCTTAGTACTTTGTTCTGGAATCTTTGAATCAGACTTGAATTTGTCTTGCATGTACAACCCCACAGTTGGATTCTGTATGTCCATTTTGGTTTTAATACTTGCTTGTATATTAGCAAATTGTTTCTTAGTGATAGCGTTGATTTTCTGCCAATAAGCCAATATAGGTGTCTAAATTTGATATCAAGTTCCTCACGTTTTTTTTTTTACGTGAGCTTTCCATTTGAGTTTGGCATCCAGCGTCATACCAAGATATTTTGCGGTGTCGACGTAAGGGACTGCATTGCCATTTATGTTTACTGGGACATAGTTTACTTTCTTATAAGTAAAGTTTATGTATGTCGATTTATTTGTATTTAGTTTTATTAGCCATCGTTTGGTCCAGTTTTCTATTGAATTTAAGGCCTATTGTAACTTGTTTGCTGCAACTACTTCATTTTCTGCAACAGCCATGTGTCATCTGCGAACGTAGCTGTTAAAGTTTCTGGTACCTGAGTAAGGTCGAATGTGTAAAGTAAGTAGAGTGTTGGGCCAAGCACACTTCCTTGAGGAACTCCGGCTCGTACTTCATGTAGTGGTGAATAAGCGTTTTCGTATTTTACTCTTCGGATTTTAATAGTTGACTATACGTTGATGGTAGTATTTGGTTTAGTTTTGGCGGAGCAGACTTTAGTTTCTTCCATTGCTATTTGGATAGTATTCGTTATTTTATGCACTTGGTCTATCTTGTTGCATGTTTATTCCGAAACCCAAATTGATGTGTTGGTATTAGGGCTTTTTCTTCTATGACAGATTTTAGTCCTTTTAATAGTAATTTTTCAAGCAGTTTTGATAGTAAGAGTAATAATGAGATAATGAGACCTATGTGATGTAACATCTGTGGAGGCTTTACCACGTTTAGGTATCATTATTATTTCAGCAACTTTCCATATGCTTGGGAAGTATTTCTGTTTAAAACCAGCATTAATTATGTGTAATAGTTTTGTCATCGCCCGTTTTGGTAGATGTTTCAATGTTTCTCCATTAATTAGGTCATAGCCTACTGATTTCTTTATATTTAGTTTTTGTATTTCATAATACAGTTCTTTCATTCTTACACATGGTATATTACTCTGCTGATCACTTTGAATTACGCTTGGGACACTATTTAGCATAGTTGTTGGACTGTCTGATGTAAAAGTTTCTTTCAGATGTTCAGCAAATAAATTAACTTTTTCTTGATTGCTCTTAGCTCAATT